GACTTCGATGGAGTTGAGAGTTACGTAGGGGGAAATAAATTCCAAGTATTTAATTAGATATCTCAATTCTCTTAATGTTGAGATGAAAGGTAGTAAGTCAGAGAAAAACACCTTTTGTTATTTTTCAATGTAATATTATGCTGTAATACACAGGAGTTAGCATACTATTGTATCAAAGCCTCCATTTAGTCCCTAATTTGTGATTACTGGCCTCATTTATTTTCTACTTAAATACCAGTCTGTAATATTTTAAAAAGCAAAAAGAATAAGTTCCTGGGAAAACTGCCTAATTCAAGCTTTGGCATAGCTCCTATCTAGGGACCTGGCACTTTATTTTTAAAAATTTGTTTACACTGTAGTCTTTTGAAAATGCTCTTGGAGTCACTGTTTTCTATACTTTCTATAGGAAGAAAAGTCCAGTAACTAACAACATATGATTTTTCTCTGATGAATATATTGAAACAAACTGATGTGAACACATTCCTTAAGGCATGCCAATAGAAAAATTTACAAATTCTGTTTTAGAACAGATTATAATGAGTTAGAGTTGTCTCAATTTTTGTTATTGCCTTACCAAGAATTCCAATAATAAATTGGTCTTAGAATCTAATTTTAATATAGAGATCTTAATACTTATTTTAACAAGGATTTGAACCCTAACAAATATGTTATCAATAGGTGACCACCCAGGACAAAAAGAAGAAAAAGAGAGACAACTGAATTAAAATCAGAAAGATTAAAGGATGGAAAAGAAATGAATTTTAAGTATACACCTGAACCTCCCCAAGTAACTAAAATTTGGATAAAAAATGTTTACCCATAAGGAAAACTGTGGCACCATTTACAAAAAGGCCCCCCTCGCTTTGCGTGATAGTGGTATTGGGTGGTAAGAATGACGATACAAGTTGAAACCATGCAAAGCAATCTTAATGATGAGAAAAATTACAATTTTTCTGTGTCCTTTAAAATTTTTGGTCAAAATGTTAAAAATCCTGTTACATTTGTATAGGAAAATTTTAAAAAGTTAAATATTAATTTAGTACAGTGTAACCGAAAACATTAGACATAGTGAGATTTAAAGTACCATTTCTTTGAAAAAAAGCTTATGAAGGCTAGTTTGAATAGTGCCTGTCTTGTAAGAATTATTATACTGAGCGAGAATATGTTCTGTTTTGGCAAATTATCCTAAGTATGGATCAACTTTCAATGTTTTATTCTTTGCACTTTCAATGCCATGAAATAGCTCCAAGAGTTCTTCTAATGTAAACT